TTTATTACAGGTATTTTTTTATTAATTGAATGAGAAACCAAATTCAATATTTTCTTACAGGTATTCTTTTTAATTTAATCATCTTTCCAAATCACAATATCAAAAAAAAAAAAAAAAAAAAACTTGAAATATATAATTTATCATTCTTAAAAATTATACTTTAATGATGAGTTTGATAAGTATCAAATTTTAATTGAGTACCCACTTTTTAGATCCAGTAATATGTCAAGAAGGTGATTAGTTGATAATTTAATTATCAACAAATTATCTTTTTTGATATATTATTGAATTTAAAAAATAAGTTTATATATCATTTTTTTTTATTTTAATTTATCAAATATTCTATGAAGTGAAATTAATTTTAATGTAACATCACTATAAGTCAATTGTATGTGGCCATGTTGCATTCATGGACGAGGCAAGGAATAACGAGTCCTATATATTACACGGGGGCATAGAGCCCCCTCTTCTTCAGTCTCTCTTCCAGTTGATGACGTACACACCTGACAAAGTTTATCTTCCTCAATTTCCAGCAACTTAAACACAGCATTGTCTATATATATACAAAATTCAAAAATCCATTTCATGATTTAAACAAACCATAGTGAGATCGAGCTTCAAGAACACTCATTCCAAACAATCATGACAGTCAATATAACCTCCATTAAAACCTCCTCTAATGGAATTTGGCAAGGTGACAATCCTCTAAACTACGCCTTCCCTCTCTTAATCGTCCAGACCACATTAATCCTCCTTGTCAGCCGAATCCTCGCCTTCCTCCTCAAGCCCCTCCGTCAACCTAAAGTTATTGCGGAAATCATCGTACGTGTTTGTTTATTTCCCGAGAAAACTACATTTGATTTTGATAATTAAATTTTCTAACCACCAAACACGACCTGATCTGATCTGATCTAATATGATATGTATTTGTAATTTTCAGGGAGGGATTGTTCTCGGTCCATCGGCAATTGGAAGAAACCAACATTACAGGCACCGGATTTTCCCCACATGGAGTACTCCGATTTTAGAAAGTGTTGCAAGCATCGGTCTCTTGTTCTTTCTCTTCCTTGTCGGTCTGGAATTGGATCTAACCTCGATTCGCCGGAGCGGAAGACGAGCTTTCGCCATCGCTGCAGCCGGAATCACACTTCCGTTCACTTGCGGTATAGGAGTTGCTTTCGTGCTTCGAAAATCTGTAAAAGGAGCCGATAAAGTCGGTTATGTACAGTACCTAGTCTTCATGGGAGTCGCTCTGTCCATTACCGCCTTTCCAGTCCTCGCTCGCATACTCGCTGAGCTCAAACTTCTCACCACTCGAGTTGGGGAAACCGCCATGGCAGCCGCCGCATTCAACGATCTGGCCGCCTGGATCCTCCTCGCCCTAGCCGTCGCACTCGCCGGCCCTCACAAGAGCCCATTGGTGTCGGTCTACGTCCTTCTCTCCGGCGTCGCCTTCGTCGCCTTCATGATGGTTGTGATCCGGCCGGCGATGCGCTGGGTGGCTCGCCGGTGCTCGCCTGAGCACGAGGCCTACATCACTCTGACTCTCGCCGGAGTGATGGTTTCGGGCTTTGTGACTGATTTTATCGGAATACATTCAATTTTTGGTGCTTTTGTGTTCGGATTAACCATTCCGAAAGGTGAATTTGCGGAGAGATTGATCGAAAGAATCGAAGATTTCGTGTCGGGATTGCTTCTTCCGCTTTATTTTGCTTCGAGCGGGTTGAAGACCGACGTTGCTAAAATACGCGGGGGGCAGGCTTGGGGGCTGCTGGCGCTTGTTATCACGACGGCGTGCTCCGGGAAGATTATCGGAACGTTTGCGGTGGCGATGATGTGTATGATTCCAGCCAGAGAGGCGATAACGCTCGGTGTTTTGATGAATACCAAAGGGCTGGTGGAGCTCATCGTCCTCAACATTGGCAAGGAGAAGAAGGTATGTCATGCATGCTTATTTTAGCATTTTCTTATGGTTTTGACTAACTTGTGCTATGTGTTCAACTCACTGGGTTGACTCAGTTAATCATTGAGAATTTTACGAGTAGGCGATGGTGTCATTCATATTTGTTAGGCAACTAAAGATTGGTTTGGGAAGTGGGTTGGTTTTTTAGATTTTTGATTTTTTTGGTTATTTTAGTTTAAGGAATTTTTGATTTTTTGGTATTTTTGATTTTTTTTTTTTAGAGAAGAGTATAATGATTATGGGTTGGATGTGATGTTTTGTTTGTTGTGACTAAAATAGTCTATTTTATTTTTTGTAACTATTTTAGTCAAAAAAATCCAAAAAATCTCTTCCCAAACAGAGGCTAAGACGTTTGAAATGACTTACTTAATAGGTTTACAATACTCATTTACCGACAACACCATGTAAATAACTATTATAGGATATTCTGATTCAAGGCTATCGCATAATTTTTCGCTAATTACATATATTAATCCACCAATTAAGTAAATAATTGTTAGAACAAAGTTATCTTGAATTTATTTTTATCTTTTTAATCCTCTCCTTTTTTGAGAAAGGAGAATATGAAAGAATAAAATAAAAGAAGAAAAACAAAAGAAGAAGAAGAAACAAAAAATGCGTATCGTATTTTTTTATTTTCCTATGTACTAATATAATCTTAGAAGGAGAGAATTCTTGTCAGATTAATGAATTAATGTAATGTCTTATTTTTGTAATTGAAAATGTTAAGTTGAAATATATATTAATAATATTGCTAAAAAAAAAACACTTGGTACAATGATTAAGCATGTGTAGTGTTGTACAATTATAAAATTATATACAAAATTAAGACAATTTTTTATATTATATAATTCATTATTTAGTATGAATCAAAGAAAGACATAATCTATAAAATTTATTTGGCAAACATAAAATAAAAAGCCAATTCTTGTAAAGAACAAGTAATATAAAAGGGTTGTTAATCGATAAGTTGTCCTACTAGCAACAACAATTAGGGATGGGCGCGGGTCGGTTGCGGTCACGGAACCCCCAATCCGCCATCCGTCCGCCAGATTAGTGGATTGGAGAAAATCAATCTGCATCCATCCGTCAATCCGGCGGATGTGGATTGAGCGGTTTGGCGAATGGATGCGAATCGGTTTGGCGGTTTAAAATTTTATAAATTTTCAACATAATTCAACTTGTGCACTTCCTTAAAAAAAATATATATATATTACAGTCAATGACTTAAAAAAATATTACAATCACTGCATGCCTCATCCAAAGTAAGAAAGTTTGAAACTTTAGAATATCACAATCATGGCATGCATCATCCACATAAAGTATTATAATCTATGGTTCTTAAAATATAAAAATAATTCAAACCACCAAAACCATAAATAGAGCAGTAGTAGAGATTATATGTCTCTGTATTGTTACATCTATATCTGTTTTTGAAAACAAAAACCAACCAGCATATATCATATTTTCTATTTATTATTTTTAGAGATAGATTTAAAAACCAAAAAATATAGATAAATAATACGTTTATTTTTTTCAATTCAAAAAAGATATTCAAGTTGAAATTTTTTTTCAATAGAATATTTAAATTCTTTTTTAATTGAAAACACAAATAGAATATTTAAACAAACTGAAAACATAAAGTCTTATAAACTACTAGGGGTGCTCGCGGTTTGGCCGTTCGGTTGCGGCCAAAGGAATCTCAAATCCGCCATCCGTCTGCCAGATTGGCGGATTGGAGAAAATCAATCCACAACCGTCCGATCGTCATCACGTATCCGTCCAAAATGCGACGGATCAGTTTGGTTCAGTCGGTTTTTACGAATTAGTATATTCGCTGCTCAACCCTAACAACAATAAGATTTTCCACTAAGTAAGAGAACTTGCAATATAGTCAAATTCAAAGTTTTAAGATTTTTTTGGGTGAATAAAGTTTTAAGATTGGGTTAGCCGTTTAGATTACATTGTTTTGAACATTTTAACTCTGGATTCCCAACATATGCCCCTTGTACTTATATCTAGAATGCTTTCTTTTTTCTCTCTTTTTTTATTTTTTAGTAAATTATATTCAAGCCTTACTATTCTCTTTATAATAATCACCATATTATCATCCACCAATTTATATTTACTATACATTCTTGAATGAGTAATTCTATATAGCATTACATTTTTCACCATTTTATTTTATTAATTACATAATAAGATATTATTTTCTCTTTTTCCGTCTTTTCATTGGGTCATTAGTATCATATAAAATTTTTATGTTAGAATGCAATTCTCGTAGTATTTATAAATATTTTTTATTGATTGATAAAAAGCATTGTAAACATTAAGATTTTTTTATATTTTATGATATTGAGTTATTAAAATATGATGTATTACAGGCTTAACCCAAAAATTATTGAAAAAAAATCGATTCGATTATATTTTCTAGGCTCATTTTTAATATTTAATCTAATATTGGAACTCTCAAACTAGTTCATACCTGTCACGAACCGATAAAGATAATTTATAATGATCAAGATAATTTTTAATAATTGAGTGAATGTCGCATTGGCATAAATGTTGAGTCGACTAGTTTTTAACTCACTTCTAATGTTTAGTCGAAAATCGCAAGTTAATTCTAATCCATTTTCACAAGAGTTATACTAGGGATCCCAAATAAATTACCAAATTTTCTACCAAACCTCTCATACATGGGTGTGAGACCCACACACTCTCACATGGGTGTGGCAATGTGTGGGTCTCATACCCATGTGAGAGGTTTGGTAGAAAATTTGATAATTTATTTGGGATCTATAGTATTTTCCTTTTCACAAAGAGTTATGACATAAAACAATTTATAATTTTGAGTAGATAAATTTTTACACTTTACAAAATAAGAAAAAACTAGTATATTAACAAATGTAATTTGCTACAGTCACATGCTAAATTAAAATTACCAAATCTATAAAATGAAATATATTTATATTTTATTATAAATATAATTTTTGTAATTTTTTCTTTAATTTTTACCAATTAACTTATAACACATAAGAATAAAAACCTTCTCTTATGTGTAATTCTGATAAAAATGAATAAAATTTAATTGATTATAAATTATTTTTACTACATATATTAAATAAATTTTATATTATTATTTTAATTTTAAAACTAATTTTTATTATTTATTATACCCGTAATATGCTAGTTATCATGTAAAGAAAAATAATGCTACACAAAAATAAATTTTTTATCAAATTTTTTCACAATTGATGTCTCATGAAAAATCAATCATATTCAAATAAGTCGAGTAACAAAACAACAGCCAAAAAACAATTTTGTTTTCCAATTTATTTTGAAAAACAAAAAGAAGTATCCAAATCTAAATTTATAATATTAGCTTGTGTAGATTTGTCTACATATATAATCGTTTTGTCTTATAGTTTAGTTTATCAATATATATATTTTGCGAAGGCAACTGGACATCTCTTTCATAGTGTGTATGTGTAGATGTAGTTCCATAATCTTTGGACCTCCAAATCAAGATTTTGACATTTTGATTGAATTTTTTATGTTTTTTGTTTTGCTATGTCGTCATCAACGACGATGGGTCATACAAAACTTTGTATTTAATAAAACAATATTTGTGGTAAAACAAACAAGAATGTGATCTATATTTCGTAGTCAAAATCAAAAGCGTATATTTAAAATTCTTATTATGAGATTACATTATGAATAAATCTTAATATTTGATTATAAATTCTGAACACTTTTTTGATTTATTTTTCTTGGACTCCTACAATTCTTGTTTATTTTTCTAGGAAATTGGTAAAACAAACAAGAATATGATCTATATTTCGTAGTCAAAATCAAAAGTGTATATTTAAAATTCTTATTATGAGGTCACACTATAAATAAATCTTAATCTTTGATCATAAATTTTGAACATTTTTTGATTTATTTTTTTTGGACTCCTACAATTGTTGAAAAAATAGCATTTTGTTTTTTGCTATCTTGTTTATTTATTTATTTATTGTTTTTAAATATTTATTCTGAGTTTATAATATTTTTTTTTTATTTGCAAAAAGTTGCGATAAAACGTAATAATGTCTCCTTTTAACTATTAGTCATAAAAAATAACATGAATTCTTATTCTAAAAATAAGAAGTACAGTGTATTTAAATTAATGAGATATGAACTGCACCCTAATAAATATAATTTATTGATTTGATGTTTTAAATAATTTTTTGACTGTATAATATTACCCTTTGGCCATTCATATCATTTCATTTGGTGCAATATTGCACCAACGAAAAGCACTATGCTTTGTTTAAGGTTTAGTTAAAAAGTCACAAAATCAATATAAAAGATTAATTATTTTTTTTATTCTTTTATATATACTTTTGTAAAAATTAAACAATTAATTTTGAAACTAACCCTTAGATGGTCTTTGATTAGCAGTGTACATTCAAACAACTTGATTAGATGGATATTGAAATGTGGGGAAATTATTCAATATTTCTGGAGTATTATGTGTTTGTATTTTTTAATTAATTATTATTCAATATGTCCTAACACGTTCTCCAATTACCCAACACAACACGCCACCTACCTACATTCTCTATCAATTATAATACTATAGAATATCACGTGTCCATATTTCGAGATTACTGAATAATTACCCTAAAATAGGAATGACTTGTTTTCAATTGAAATTTGAATTGGACTAAACAATTGAGATTTTTAACTGGAAAAAGTCATTAAATGGAAGACTATAATCGGAAATAATCATTAAACGGAAAACTCTTACCAACAAGAGTTGTTGAAAAATTCAAATGGATTATGTTTTTATAAATTTTTATCGGTAAGAGTCTTCCGTTTAATAATTTTTCCAGGTCAGAGGCCTCAACTCTCTGATCCAATTTAACTTTCAACTGGAGACAAGCCAAATTCATTAAAAAAAACACAATTTATTTATTAATCATTTTATTTAAAGTTTAGGGCAGACCAAGGGTAGGACTAGACTTCAAAATTATGGACAATAGTTAGGTGGTATTTGCCAATTATTTTTTTAGTACTTCTTTTTATTATTTTTTACAATTTAAAAATATTGATGTGTTTTATAATCATTAAAAAGTTACCTTTTTATTATAGATTTTTTTTTTTTGGTCTTTCAAACTTTGATTTTTTGTATAAAAAAAATTACCATATTACTTTTATTTAGTAAAATCAAACAACTTTTGACTTTTAGCTTTTTTTAGTTTAAAATATATATATTATTATTATTTTATTTTATTTGGATTAGTGGGATAAATATTTATAACATTTTATTGACCAATTACACTAATTTACATGATACCATTTTTACACTCAAATATATATATATATATATATATATCAGACTCCTGTAGAAATAATCAATCAATTTGTTACAAGTTTACACTTCACAGTATCAACTTGGAGTCCTTATAATTTAATAACAACAATAAAAATAAAAATAAGTAAATTGTATAACGTGCATGTTCGTTCTGTATTGTGTATAGAAGTGAGAATAAGAATTTCCTAAATATTGAAAGAAAAATAAAAATATGATGACTAAATTTCTATTATAAAAAATTTCATCAATTTCACCAGTAAATTAATAACATTATTTGACATACAACTTTAATAGGGTCCGACCAAGTACTCCCGACTCTTGTAATCCGGTCTATGAACTCTCATACTTTCACATAAGGATCGGAACAGAAAGATAGTTACTTGTTAGAGTTGCTCGCTCGTGCCCTGAAGAGATGCCCCACCCAAAGTGAAAAGAAAAAAAAATAATTTTGATAATAGTAAAAATGCAAGAACCATATTGTTAGTTTTATATATAAAAAATTATATTTGTAATTCATTTTTTCATTTCTGTATTGTATAATGTGCAACAGGTACTAAATGACGAGGTCTTTGCAATAATGGTGCTAATGGCATTATTCACCACCTTCATCACAACTCCTACAGTTATGGCCATCTTCAAGCCCGCTCGCCCCGGCCAATTACACTCCGCCAACTTCAACAACATCAAGGATGAACTTCGAGTCCTTGCTTGCGTCCACGGCCCTGGAAACATCCCTTCCCTCATCAATGTCATCGAATCAACTCGATCCACCATCAAGTCCCGACTCAAACTCTACATCATGCATCTTGTGGAGCTCACCGAGCGGTCCTCCTCGATTGTCATGGTCCAACGTGCCCGGAAGAATGGTTTTCCGTTCATCAACCGGCAAGGTGGGTGCGAGTTGCATGACCGAGTGGCTGTCGCGTTCCAAGCTTACGGCCAACTCGGTCGAGTCAGCATCCGACCCACAACTGCAATATCACCATTGTCCTCTATGCACGAGGACATATGCCACATGGCAGAAGACAAGAGAGTGACCATGATCATACTGCCTTTCCACAAACAGTGGAGGAGGAGAGAGGATGGAGGTGACGAAGAAGAGGTGGAGAATGTGGGCCACGGTTGGAGAGGAGTCAATCAAAAGGTGTTGAAGAATGCGCCATGTTCAGTGGCGGTGCTTGTGGACCGGGGATTCAATGGTGGATCCCAACGAACTCCTGGGGCCACTGCCACCGTGGCACAAAGAGTGTGCATTGTGTTCTTTGGTGGGCCTGACGATCGCAAGGCACTGGAACTGGGTGGAAGGATGGCGGAGCATCCGTCCGTTAAGGTGACCGTTGTGAGGTTCATTGAGAAAGATGGCTTTGAGGCTAACGGAGTTATCTTACGTCCGTCACTAGATAAGAGTAGAGAGAAAAGTTACACCTTCTCAACAGCCATTATGAACCGTGAGAAGGAAAAGGTAATCTCTTCTCTATAAATACATCTCATCATCATTAGACAACTATTATATTGATAATATTATGATGATTATATTTAATATAAAAAAATTTACATACACAAAATTAATCGACAAAAAAATATAAACGATGACATGTCAAATATGGATGAGTTCAGTAAAATAATTTTTAAATTTTTATAGGCATACCATAATTGAATGTAAGGTACTCGAGTTTTGACTCAATTTTTGTCGGCAAACTTTTCAGGAGCTGGATGAAGGAGCTGTGGTGGAGTTTCGGAACAAGTGGGATGGAGTGGCGGAGTACACCGAGGTGTCGAGCAATATTGTCAGCGGGGTTATGGAGATAGGGCAAAGCGGAGACTACGACCTCATGGTTGTAGGCAAAGGCCGGTTCCCATCATCCATGGTGGCCGAATTAGCAGACCGAGAGGCTGAGCATGCAGAGCTAGGGCCCATAGGGGACATGTTGGCTTGTCCGGGCCAAGGGATAGTGTCATCAGTTCTGGTGATCCAACAACATGATCTAGCCCACACAGAGGAAGCCCCAGTGTCAAAGATAATGGACCTGGAGGATGGTCCAGTAACAACATCCCATGGGCCATCAAGTCCAGTGGGAACTCAAACAGATTGTGTGTGACCACCCAAAGAATTTGGGTATGTAGATGTGTACTATGATCTTTGAGTTCAGTTCCCACAGATAGGATAAAAACTTCAATACAATGGTGATACCATATCATTAGTATCACCATCTAATAATTTCTTGTCTTCGATTCTCTATGCATACGTGACAAGATAGTTGTACCTGAAAAATGGGATTGACCCTCCACATCATGTAGCTTTATTGTTTATTGGTGATACTACATTATCGGATACTGTAACTACAATTGTGGGTAGACAAGATTTATAAGATATGCTGAAAATCTTATACGCCAATATATTTTTGATGTTCAACTCTGTATTTAGTTTCTGTATTCATAAGCTCATTGATTGTGGTTTCTTCATTTCCAAGTCTTGTAAAAGCATGAACAGATCAGAAAATGAAATCATCTACTCCAAAGGCTCTATTTGAGCTCTCTGTTAGACTAAATGATATAAAAAATAAAAAAATTACTTGTTGCAAATCAGGTTTTTGCAGATGCAACAAGCCTGAGAGAGAGATGAGGGAGAGGGGAAGCTGGTTGCAGTGGGGGGGGGGGCAATACTTTGTTATTGACCACATAAGACATAAGCAATGAGGATTATAAGGGTTGTTATATATTACCAAAATTCTTTATCGAAACTCTTTCTTTTCTGATTTTTATGTTCCTGAATTTGGACACAGATTTAAAAGGGAAAAAAAAAAGAAAAAAAGAAAAAGGTAAAATGTAAATGAAATATAACTAAATTTCACTTGCACACTTCACATACTTTTTTCTTTTCCCTTTCCAAATCCATGAACCGTCGTACCGAAATATTTTATATTTTAATTGGTTGCTTAATGGTACCATTGATTTTCTATTTGAGCTAGGAAACAGAATTCCTAAGAATATGTTTGGACATTGGATTGGTGAAGGAATTTGTTAGAATTTGGCCAACAGATTTGAGTAGAGATCGTTTTTTTTTTTTTTTTTTTTTGTGAATCTGTTGGATGAATCTGTAATTTTTTTGGATTTGGATTTGTTTGAAACTGTTTGATGAATCTGTGAATCTGTAATCAAATTGAGAAACACATAATAAATTTTTTCCTGTGAATACGTGAATCTGTTTGATGAATTGGCTGAGTTGGCATGAAGTGAGGGAGAGAGAGAGAGAGAGAGAGAGGGAGGGAGGGAGGGAGGGAAGGAGGGAGGAAGGGAGGGAAACCGTTGGTTTTGGCTGAGTTGGCATGAATGGCAGCTGCCAAAGCTTGTGTCAAATTTGACACAAGCTTTGGCATTTCTTAAATTTGGCAGCTGCTATGTTTTGCCATTGGAGCATCAAAATTCAATGGCAGCTGCTATATTATAGCAATAGCAGCTCCAATGGCAAACCATTGGAGATGCTCTACGACATAAGCAATGAGGATTATAAGGGTTGTTATATATTACCAAAATTCTTTATCGAAACTCTTTCTTTTCTGATTTTTATGTTCCTGAATTTGGACACAGATTTAAAAGGGAAAAAAAAAAGAAAAAAAGAAAAAGGTAAAATGTAAATGAAATATAACTAAATTTCACTTGCACACTTCACATACTTTTTTCTTTTCCCTTTCCAAATCCATGAACCGTCGTACCGAAATATTTTATATTTTAATTGGTTGCTTAATGGTACCATTGATTTTCTATTTGAGCTAGGAAACAGAATTCCTAAGAATATGTTTGGACATTGGATTGGTGAAGGAATTTGTTAGAATTTGGCCAACAGATTTGAGTAGAGATATCAAAACAAAACAAAAAAAAAAAGCAACAGCAAAAGAGGGGGGAAAAAAAACCATATTTCATTCCGTCAGGGCAAACAAGCATTTTTCATAAAAATGATTTAAAAATGCAAATCATTTTTATGCTATTAAAAAAATTCAAATCTACATAGAAATTAAATAGTCATCACAAATCAGAAACCGTTCTAAATTTAAGAGTCACAAACAGGACTCCTCACACTCAATTGCAGCTGTTGTCCTCTTTAGTTGGGCAATTTAGCCCACAATGTTAACCATTATACATATTGTAAACAATTCTCATACAGAAATGCCCATTCCCAGCAAAAGTACACATTTAAAATCAATTTAAAAAAAGAAAAAAGAAAAAAAAAGAAAGAAAGAAAAGTCGATGATAATATACTAACCTCAGAAAAAGCCACCGTCACTCCACTTGGTATCTGATTTTCCATTGTGACCAACAGCTTTCGTATATGATGATGCACTCTGGTAGAAATTATCGAATCCATCATCCTTACCATCGTCCCAGCCTGCCCAGCCATCCCCATTACTAGACACCGCACCCTTTGTGGATTCTTCGTTCTTATTGTCTTTATGGTCCCAATCGTCCCAAGAGCCTGAGCTGACAGAATTAAAATGTGCACCAGTTGAAGACTGCTCTCCTCTGGAACTTTTTGAATCTTTTGAAAACTCCTGATAATACCCATTTCTCTCACTTTCATTTTGTTGCCAGCCATCGGCTTTCCAGCTGGCACCTCCTTCCTTGGTGTACTCCTCTACTTTCTGTGTGGCCAATGCCACGACCCCTTTCATGATACCCCATGTCTTTTGTCCAATCTCTGTTGTTTTTGCAGTGACAACGTTGACCGTTTCGTTCACCTTGGTATCGTAGCCCCCCTCTCTCACCTGTTAGAAATGATTTAAAAGTTGATTTGCTTCAAAATTCACATCTTATTTTTGGCAAATAGTAATATCATTATAACCACACAAAAGATTGACAAGAACTTCTATATATAACATATTTTCTAGAAAAAAAATCCAACACATTTTGCCAAGAAGAATTTTCAACATAAAAAACTATTAACGCGCATAATATATAAAGGATGATAAAGTCTGCAAACTCAATGGCATTAACCAACCAAAATTAGTATTAAACTGCAACAATTTAAGGAATAAACAAAATAAAACAAATTAAATGTACAATTGGAAAACACGATACATGCCCTAGCCATTGATGATACCTACCATCTAGTAAACCAACAAAGAATAAGTCATCTCAATAACAACATGAGTTTACTCTTGAGTTTAAGACTTTTTTTCCTAGTAACATTACAATTTCCTTTCTTTCTTTTTTTTTCTAATGTGATATCCTCTCCTTACAGTTCGGTAAAAATTTGAAACAACTAAGACACTTGCCTTTTAAGTCCCATCTCTAAAAAGACTCAGAATCTCTGTGATCTATGAGATAAAGATTCTAACTTTTAGGAAGCCCATGAAAACATCTAAATTTCAGTTTTAAGGAAATTTGTGAGCTATGAGGTAGGGAAGGGTGTAAGGACCCTGGTATACCTGGTAGTTAAAACCATAGCTAATTCAACAGAATTCAAGAAAATTATATTTGAGATTAAAATGTTACCAAAGCCACTGGTGGATTACATGCTCCTCTCATAAATGCTGTGGCACCTATTTGACCATACATCAAGGGAAGGGAAAATGAAAGGATTTCATGAGAATCAATTCAAAGAGGAAATTTCCACGTCAACAAAGCAACATTTTCAATAGTTGTGGCAAGAGATTGCCATGCTGCTTCAATTGCTGTGTAGTGCAAACATAAACGCATCACAAATACATCCAAAATGCCCAAGTTAAAACCTAAAAAATTAAGTTCACACTATCAACAAACATTGGTAAACTATATTCATATTTAAGTGATATTATTGTTATTTGATTTGACAACTGGTCCAATCAAAGATCGATATTCATCGCACTAATGGAACCCAACAAGGCAAACGACACAAATTTAAAATAAATTAAAAAAATAAAAAATAAAAAACTAGCAAATGACATGTATGTTGTGAAGCTACATATGAGATACTAAACCTTCAGAATCATTGAGGTAATCAAAACTAAAATGACATTAGGATTACACAGTGTGCCTCTCTGCAGACCCTTTTTCACCCTCAAAGGCTAGCATATGAAAATAACAATATTTACTGTCTTTACATAAGTCCAAATGCCAAAGGCCACTTTGGGTAAGCTGTTACAAGGACAGTCACACTGGTTGGATGGTATAACTGGTGCTTAACTAATATAATATCAAATGCAGCAAGTAGGCTGCAACTCTAGGTTTGGTTGGCTTCTTCGTGCTCTGCTCATTATAAAAACTAAAGCACTTTCAGGGACCGGCACCTCTGCCACCTGCTAGATCACCAGACACCAAGTATGCAAATGCTGAGAACTTTTGTTACTGGCTACAAAATGAGATGAGAATTAAGGAACTTCCAACATGGTGGCTTCAAGGATTACCAACATTGCCGATGTTTTAAATCAGATTCAATTCCTCAAGATGAAGATGGAAGAAACTTCAAGGTCAGCCATTCCACCAACGATTCCACCACAACCGTGAATGTGTGTGCATTTCTATAAGATCTATCAAATATATTAACATTATAATAAATTGATAAAATATATTAAAAAGTAAAAGTAAAAGATCTTGTAGGCATGGCATTCTTGTTTTCGGCGGGAAAGATAGCATGGAGTCATCTAGCAAACACGATGCCATAGCATGAATCAAACAAAATTTTCCATTTGCAACAAATTAGGATAATCAATTGTGTAAAAATAATTTAAAATTCCAGTACAATTCATGCTTGAATTCAATCTCACAAATACTCAAGAGAGAGAAAATTAAGAAGGAATTTTTTTTTATTCCAAATTCTTTTTCACCACCCAAGATTTATGTAATTGCCTTGATTTGTATAACCAAATTCACTTGAACTTGATTTCACCAACAATTTCATAAATAAAAATTGACTAGACAAATTTTGCAAACATTTTTAAAAGATAATGACAGCCAACGAATCTAGTCAGCATAGACCAGATTATAAAGGAGGGTGGGAGTATTGGTGGTAGAGAGACATCAATCTGACGAAGCTCAACTTTTATAAAATGGTCTCCATCATGCAACTAGACAACCAACCACCCTCTCTTAAGATTAGGTGAGGAACTGGCACCTTAAGGTGTCTGCTTGGAAGTTGCCAACTTCCAATTGGTACTTTAAAGTTGGTAATTTCAGTTTGACACCACAACCAACCTTGAAGCAAAACCAAATCTCAAGTTCTCAATCATAAACTCTAAATGTTCAAGGCCGAGCCCCTTGACCATCATATCAATAATTTTCCTTGCTTGACTTCTCCCTATGTCACCAAGTATAGTATATCTTGTACTTCGAATTTACCCTAAAATGTTGCTATCCATCAAGGTAGGCTCCATAATCACAAAATCCCTCCCTCCCTCCCTCTATCCGTCTCTCTTGGTTGTGAAATCAACTCTTCTTCTAACTTCACTCTGTCAACCTAACCCAGCCACATCTGAATTATGTGAGAGGTTTGAGATGGGTTTTTCTCTCCATTGTCAGGCAGGCTCAACTTGAAACCCCCCCCCCCCCCCCCTCCCTCTTCTTTTCTCTCACTTGGGGGATGCCATCACAAAAGTTCCCTGATAAAGGACATAGTCACAATTTATTAGATCAAAGCCTTAGGTAAGCTTCTTCAACAACCAATCACTAAGAAGCACGCACACTTCTATGGAGAAAGCATGTCAAGTCGGACACAACACTCTATTGATACTTCTAAAAGCGTGTTCGGCACTTTTTCAACATGCCTTCATTAATAACATCGGACACTTTACAAGAACTTCTCAAACATTTCAGCAACACTTGTCGAACAATCTGAACACAATCTATTTGATGAATCTCTTCATGGTAACAACGTTTTTAATTATTTAGAATGTAACTTGTGCACTAGAAATATGTTTTAAAACATTTAACAGATAAATATTTCATATGTATTCTAATGTTTTATAATTGTTACGTGAATAATATATTGATATTTATGTTATGAAATATATGACTTTTAAATTTTAATTAGTGTTGTATTATTTTTTTATTGCCTTTGAATAAACTATTCAAATATTTCGCATATAATAAATTTTGAATGTGCTCCACGCATACTGTGTCCTGTATTTTTAAAAATTGTCGTGTCAGCATATCCGTGCTGTGTGCCTATATCTATGCTAAATAGACCAAGCATCAAATGCATGCTAAGATCTTCTAATTAGATTAAAATGAATTACTACCAACGGTCCAATTCTGACCTAGAAACTTGCAACCAGATTTCTTCAACAGCAGGCCCAGTATAGTATTCAATCCAGGTGAACTATAAGCCAATTCTTAATGTAAGACAGTGAATTTATGCAACGAGCTAGTGACTGTGAGGTCATATCATCCATGTAACCGTCCTAAATCTTCCCTAATTCAAACTTGCAAGAACCCCCAGCAAGTATAGTCACACTGTAATGGCATTGTAGAAGTATCTAAATTCTATAATGTCATTGTTCATACAAGCATCCATGATCATTTTTTTTCCTCATCATGCATTTTCATAACAACACACAAGCATAACAACAATCATTAGCACTACCAGCAAAATCAAATAAAACATGAAAATCAAAGTTGTACAAACAATTTGCACAGAAAAACATGAAAGATATATAATAGCAGAAAACATAATCATAAAACATGTCATTTAACAGTAGTTCCAAAAAAAGCCAAATACCTTTGAACTGAACTCCTTTGTGCCAACTTGAACAACATTTGCCGTAGACTGTGCCGCCGATGCAGCAACCATAGATAGCCTACCAAATCCCTGAATCAAACATATTACAATAAACAAGATCATTACATTAAAAGATCAATCTTTTGCATGAATTACGCTGACATGCAGAGAGAATTCGACGAATTACCTGAGAAACGGCAGAAAGTACATCGCCTTGAGAATTATTTCTGGGCATTGGGGCCGGACTCGATCCGAAACCAACATACTTCCCACCTTGCGATGGATGTAAACCTTCAGGCTTCGATTCATTCTCCGCAATCTTACTAGCGAAAAAGCTCTCCTTATTCGCCGCCGAAGCCTCCAATTGCGCCTTCGTATAAATATTATCGGTCGATCTCGACCTCGACGGAACCCCTCCGCCGCCACCGCCGCTCCTGAAATCGCTCACCGACTGGTTCCGCCTCACATCCGCCGACGATTTGAACCCTCCCTCATCAAAATTGTCCCAACTATCCCAATTCCCCCCAGAATTACCATTCCTACCGCCGCCGCCGCCACTCAACGGCGGTTTCTTTTTGCTGGCGCCGAGGCTTTCCTTGACCACAGGAGGGTCCCGCCAGGGGCGGCCCTCGGCTAGGGTTTGGATGCGATCGCGGTAGACGGAGGCGGCGTTGGTGTTGTATTTGGTGACGATATCGGTCTCTTTTGCGATGCCGTACTGAGAGAGGAAGCTATTGAGCTTCTCGTTACCTCCAGACTCCATTTTCTTGAGCTGGATCTCGGACCACGAATCCATGGTGACCGATCGGACGAAGCTGATGTGAACTCCGAGACCGCGGTGCTTCCCCGAGCACTCCAAGCACATGAACACGCCGTACGACACCGACGCCCATTGAGGATTCTTCTGAGCGCAGTCGACGCAGATCTTGTTCCCCGATTGCGCTTGTAGGTCTCGGAGGCGTCTCGATGCCGCCATTTTCCGATTCCGATCAGATCGTAGATAATTAAGAACTCTCTTCAATTGAATCTACAGAAACTGAAATCAAACGTTGAAATTGATGCGTGTATAGATAAAGATTTGAGGTGATCAGATCATATTTGGATCTGTTCTAGAAGAGAGACAGAGAATGAGAAATCTAGAGCGAGAAAGCCCTTTCGCTTTCTCGGGGGAGAGAGAGGAGCGAGATTGCCGACACCGTCGAAAACTTTTGGCGATGACAAGTGATAGGGTGTACACAAATTATGTGCAATCTCATGAGCTGTTACGAACGATAGAGATACAGAGCTGTTTCCCACTAATTTTAATTTTTAAATTTATTATTTATTTATTTTTATTAAATTTTTACTTTAAAAAAATATCAGTATATTTGGTTTTAGTTTTTTAAAAATTTAATTTTTTTATTTTTTTGTATTTTTTTTATTTTTAATGAATATTTTTTAAATTTGAAGTTGAAAAATCTAAAAATTCCCTAGATGTTAATTTGTGATTATGTATCAATTTAAAGCAGTAAACAACAATCCCAATCAAACAATCAAGACAAATCGACACAATGATTTTACGTGGAAAAACCATAATTGGACACCTCCAATTGTGATAAAAAAACCACGGACAACATCCACAAAACAATTCACTAAGAACATATAAAGGAATTACACAGGTATACTCTCAATTACGTAGCGGATCCATGCCCGAATTGAAGTAACCCCTATGTGCCTCTTCTAACCCGTCTTCACCTCGGAATTGTCTTGATGATGAGCCACTCCGAAATCCACCAAAACTTCAGGCTCGTATTTTTCAGAATCCACCGAAGAACAACTCTCTTTTTTGTATAAAATTAAACAAACAATCTTTTGATGTAAATTTCTAAAACCATGAGTTGAATACTCAATCAAAATATCAAAGAAAACTAAAAAAATATACCCAGATATAAACCTTAGAACCCAAAAAGAAGATCTTGAGAAGTAATCCTAGATTTGGACTGAAACACGTATTTATAGAAAATTGTCCCGCAATCTCCGCTCGAGCGTCAGAGTGGCCGCTCGAGCAGACCTACGCTCGTGCGCGGAAAGTTCCGCTCGAGCGAGAAAAAACAACACCCAGTATTTTTGCAGGCGAATAAACTTCTAGAGCTCAGCATTCTATGCTCGAGCAGGGGAATGTCCACTCGAGCGGACAGGTAACTTGGAATGCATTTTTGCATTTTGGTTCGGGAGCACTGCCTCTCGACCCCGCCGTGCCGCTGCCCCAGACCCGCCAAGGGGCGCTGCCCCCTGGACTCCCGTGAGCTGACCGGGCAGTTCGATCCCCGTCATAATCAGCGAAGTGGCAATCTTGAAAGTATTAACATCACAAACTTCTCTGCAAGGCACAATTCGGGTTAGATTTGCATCTAAAAACTTATAACTTCACTGAAATAAAAAGTGCGAAAATAAGTACAACTGAAAAGAGTTTTGTCAAATGAGATTGCCAAGAATAAAACCTAACAGAAGTTTTTTTTTTTAGATACACCTTAATTAGCTTTATTTAAATAGTAAAATATTTGTGAAAAATATTTTAAAAAATTAATAAATACACAAAAATATGAAAAATGTATTGAATTTTCATATATATATTTTTTGTATTTTTTGGTATTTAGTGTATTTTTAAAGATTTTTTCACAAATATTATACTTTTTAAATGTATTTATGTTAGGTGTGTCTAATTTTTTTTTTTAAAAATTACTTAAAATATTAAAAAAATTCATTGAAAACATTTAAATATGGAAAATAAAAAAGTTAAATTTTTTGAAAATTGTTTTCTGAAAAGCAGAATCAAACAAGCTGATTTTTTTTAAAATTATATTCACAATCTGTTTGGTTTCTATTTTCAGAATCCACTTTTCAGAAAATTTTATTTTTTCACTTTTCATATTTTTTTTATTTTTACTTAATTTTTTTAATATTTTAAGCAATTTTTTTTTTAATTTTTAGACACACCTAACATAAATACACTAAATACCAAAAATCTTCAAAATATTCACTAAATACCAAAAATACAAAAATTCAATACAATTTTCATATTTTTATGTATTTATTATTTTTAAAAATATTTTTTTACAAATAATTTACTATTTAGATACATCTAAGTAAAATGCATTTAAAAAGTTAAAAAAAAATTGTTAAAATTTTAAAAATATTTACTAAAAATAAAAAAAAATACGAAAAATAAAAAAATCAATTGTCGAAAAATTGAATTCAAAAAATTGAAATGAAACACACTGATTGGTCTCAAAAAAATATAGAGAGATTTACGTATCGATTATAATAGGTGGACCTTATTATCCAATAAGTCCTATAATAATTAATGGTATTTTCATCAAACACTATTAAAAAAGTCACTAATTGTTAATTTTTAACAACAATTTAAAAATTTTGTCACAAAAAATATCACTAATTATAAGTTTTAGTAATAATTTAAAAAATCATCCCAAAAAAATACTAATTTTGAACCTTCTGTTTTCTGAAAAGCAGAACCAAACAAACTACTTTTTTTAAAAAATTATATTCACACTCTATTTGGTTTCTATTTTCAAAATTCACTTTTCAGAAAATTTTATTTTTATTTTTTCATTTTTCATATATTTTTTTTAATTTTTACTTAATTTTTTTTAATATTTTAAGCAATTTTTTTAATTTTTAGACACACTTAACATAAATACACTAAATACCAAAAATCTTCAAAAAATTCACTAAATACCAAAAATACAAAAATTCAATACATTTTTCATATTTTTATGTATTTATTATTTTTTAAAAATATTTTTTCACAAATATTTTACTATTTAGATACATCTAAGTAAGATGCATTTAAAAAGTTAAAAAAAAAATATTTTAAATTTTAAAAATATCCAGTAAAAACAAAAACAATCATTTTTCATATATTTTTTTTATTTTTACTTAATTTTTTTAATATTTTAAGCAATTTTTTTAATTTTTAGACACACTTAACATAAATACACTAAATACCAAAAATCTTCAAAAAATTCATTAAATATCAAAAATATAAAAATTTAATACATTTTTCATATTTTTATGTATTTATTATTTTTTAAAAATATTTTTTCACAAATATTTTACTGTTTAGATACATCTAAGTAAGATACATTTAAAAAGTTAAAAACAAATATTTTAAAATTTAAAAATATTCAGTAAAAACAAAAACAAAAATACAAAAAAAAAATCAATTATCAAAAAATTGAATTCAAAAAATTAAAATCAAACACACTGATTGGTCTCGAAAAAATATAGAGAGATTTACATATAGATTATAATAGGTGGACCTTATTGTCCAATAGGTCCTATGATAATTAATGATATTTTCATTAAACACTATTAAAAAAGTCACTAATTGTTAATTTTTAACAACAATTTGAAAATTTTGTTACAAAAAATATCACTAATTATAAGTTTTAGTAACAGTTTAAAAAATCACCACAAAAAAATCACTAATTTTGAACCTTTAGTGATAGTTTGAAAATTTGTCACAGAAAAATATCATTAATTATAAATTTTAACGATAATTTATAAAAATTATGACAAAAAAAAGTCACTACTTATCAATTTTTAGCTACATATACAAAACATTATCACAAAAAATTATTTTTAACAATAATTTTATTAGAACTTATTTTAAATAGCATTTGATAAGAAATAAATCTAACTATTAGGACCTATTAATAGTTTATCCAATGTATATATACATGAAAAAGATCATTGATTATAATTTTTTTTTTTGGTTTTTTAAACTAGTTTTTAATTATTTAAATATATATCTATATGAAAATAAAACTAGTGTGTTTAGTTTTTTATCTAGGACTTTTTTTTATGTGTGCCTTGCATATGGTATGCAAGGCACTTACACCCTTCTATTTTGCATTTACACATTTGTATGTATTGGGTTATATCAAAATATTTGAAAACTTACACATTGGTGACCTGCTAAGCAGGTCACTTTCCAGGTAAATTAATAAAATAATGTATTATATGACTAAAGGTGTAAATGGTCACAAAAAAGGCGTAACTGATTTCTGAAAAGTTACACATTTTTTTGAAAACTTACGCCTTCTGTGAAATCATTTACACCTTTTATGAACACTTACTCCTTTTGTGTAAGAATTTTTGGCATAAGATTTATACCTTTTGCTTCGAACATACACCTTTTGTGGAAGCCCAACTTAAAGCTTTTCGGAAGTCACTTATACCTTTTGTGAAAAAATAAATTCATCAAATTTACACATTTTGCTTCAGCTTATACCTTTTCGTGGAACTGCTTATATTTTTTTTGAAAAGTTACTCCTTTTGTGAAATAATTTTTCTCATAAAATTTATACTTTTTCTTCAAACTTACACCTTTTGTGAAAGAGTATATAAGCACAAAAGTATAAATGTTATGCCAAAATTCTTACACAAAAGGAGTAACTTTTCAAAAATGGTGTAAGTCTTTTCAGGAAAAGGTGTAAGCTTAAGCAAAATGTGCAAATTTCATGAATTTTTTTTTTCCACAAAAGGTATAAGTGACTTCCGAAATAGCTTTAAGTTGGGCTTTCGCAAAAGGTGTAAGTTCGAAGAAAAAGTATAAATCATATGCCAACAATTCTTACACAAAAGGAGTAACTTTTCAAAAATGGTGTAAATATTTTCACGAAAATTATGAAGGAGTAACATTTCAAAGCGTTGATAACCAGAAAAGGAGTAACAAAGGGTTCATTTCAAAATGTTCGTAAACACAGAAGGAGTAACATATGTTAATCTTAAAGTAGTAAACACAAAAAGAGTAACAATTTGAAGTGTTCATAAACCAATTGAGACAACCACTGAACAAATCAAAGGGTCGTGACCCCCGCTGACCACCCAAGCGTCGGTGGGCTCCGGTGCTCACAGCCTTCTGAGATCGGCAACTCCACTTGCACTGCTGCCGCAAATCAAAGGTTTTTTGAAAGATTGGCTATTGATCTTGGACTCTCTATGTCGATGTCGGTCTCTCTCTGTCGATCCCTGTTTATCTCGGTCTGTCTCTAGCGATCTTGGTCTGTTTGTGTCCATGTGGGTCTCTTCTCTGTCGATCTCTGTCGATTTCGGTCCCTTTGTCGATCAGTGTCCATCTAGGTCTCTATGTCTGTTGATCTCAGTCTATCTCTCTTTCTCTCTGTCTGTTTGTCCATTGCTCTATATTCAAAACGGTTCTCTTTTACATTG